CTCACCACACTACTCGAAGGTCACTCCCCCTTCAAACCACACTGAAATCTGCATAAACCCTAACACACTACAATCTGAATTTTCATCACACGATCTGGAACACATCCACCATTTGATTCACAATAAAAACTGCATAAAAACCACTTACCTAATCACCAGAAAATCAAACTATACTCAACGCTCCACTGCATCACTCGAATCAGCCCTCTTCTCTTCATCAATTAGGGGGGGGGGGCTTCCTACAAACCACATCAAACACCCATGAACTGCATGACTGGAGGCATAGAAACCTCCAAGGGAAGAGGGCAATCACTCCTTTTCAGGTCCTTTCCTTATCTCCAACTGATGGCGAAGAAAAATGAAGAAAGCCCTAGACTGGATGCATGAAGATCAGAATTCTGGGCAGATTCGATTTGCTTAACCTAGCTCTGATGCCATATTATAATCCAATCTGCCTTTGAATTCTGTTAGAATAGTCACTGTAGAAATAAGAGAAAGATGAGAAGAGGAAGAAGAAGAAGAGAAGAAAATAGAGGAGAGAAGTCTGGTTCGAACAAGAGAGAAAATCAGTCTCTCTAGTCGGCCAGATCAATTTATATGTTTCTATTAAATCATAAAAGTTACATTTGCCCCTACTTAAGTGAGGGACACAAGTACTAATAGAACATTACACATCAGTAACTTAAACATAAACATAAAGACTAAGATACCCCTACACTGTCGACATTAACAATAGAGAATAAATCTAGAATCACTCACAGGGTACCTAGAATCACTTTAAGGCATGGGCACACTCATCATAGGTAGCATAAGCTCTAGGAACTCAAATAAATTTCATTAATCCTTGTGTAAAACACCCAAACATATTTATAGAGTGTTGATGACTAAAATATATAAACTTGATAAATTGCTGCTGCAATCCTATTTCTGTTCAAACTTCAAAGAAGACTTAATAACACTTAAAATTCTCATATAATGACTCAAAAGCTTTAAACATCAACTAAAATATGACTAGACAAATCAAACTAATAGGCTGGGCCTCAAAGGCACATGTTAAAATGACCAAAGGTAATCTTCTGCCATCTAAGTTTCTTGACAAGGGAGAAAAGTTCATTCAATTTCTGAACCCTTCATTACCCCAATGATTGTGCCAAAACAAAATTACTTCAAATCAGTACTAAGATATGTCATATGAGTTTTGATAGGTGTGCTAAGACAATATAAAGAATTAGATATTCTATTTTCAATGTGCTTCAATTAGAAATTTGAGAATTGAACTTGTGTTTTACCTTATTTCTATTACATTGTCATTATAAATTTTTATGATGTTATTATCTTCTTAGTTTTAGTTTTCATTGCAACTTTGCACTTTCAGTTTTGCATTATTTTATTGCTATGTTTTCTTTGTTGGATATCAAGACATCAAAATTGTCTTAGTAATAACATGTACACTGTTGTTCAATGTCCAATGTTTCCATGAATCTATATAAAGTTGGCAGATGAAGGGTTCAGAGTTTCACATATAATTATGTAAGTGGAAATATATACTCTATATCTGCCATAAACAAGGCATGTACATTAGACTATGCAACCCAAGCAAGAGTGAATACACCAATGATCTGTACATTCGGTACCTCTAGTTGTATAGATCACTGGTGTGTTCACTCTTGATTGGTTACATAGTCCATTGTACATGTCTTGTTCGTGCAGATCTTTCCCTGTGGGAATATGTTTTTGTACAGAACTGAGTTTGAAGTAAGATACATAATACAAATAAAGAATTGGTACAATAAAATCAATAGTATTGAAGTTCATAGACCTAATATTTTTGTTTGTCAAATACTTCTATGAGTCTTAATACTGTTCTCTATAGGTGTGTCAAGTGATCTAAGAAGATGAAACTAGAATGGTTGGCGTTTATGGATATGCTGCTAATCTTTGTGTTAATACTGGCAATGTAAGGGTGCAGGTACCAGATATTGGCTAGCTGAATTAAAGATTAGCACTGCTAGAATCATGCTTAGTGCATAGGTTCATGAGATTGAACTTGGATGTCAAGAAAATGGAGTGCATTTTGAAGTAATGGAAATTCAATGACTCGGTTTACAAAGCAAGGTTCAAAATTGTGTATTGCATCAAAGGAGCAATACTCCTAGAATAAAAAAAAAAGTTAATTTCAAGAATTGAGCAAGACACCTCAATGAAGGGTTTTAGCCTTCGAAAGTGGCCACATGCCCTAACTCCTAACTCCCAGTATTTAGTGTATTGGTAGGCTCAAAAACCTATAGTGCGGGGTTTCTTCCCTAGTGCGGGGTCTAGAGGTGTGGGAAGTGAGAATACAAAAATGTTCTGAGATGGAATAATCTCTCAAAACTACTATTGCATTAAAGTGGTTGGAGCCCTACTAACATTTGGTTTAAGTCACAAATTTTTGTAGCAATAAGAATTTCACTTGGCAAATTTATTGCAATCAAATTGGTAGAAAACAACATGGGTAGAGGTGAGTAGGGGTGAGCAAGAAAAACCGAAAAACAAAACTGAACCAACAAGGCCGAACCGAAAATTCCTATTAATTGAACCGATCAGTTTGGTTTCGGTTCAAGATTTTAAAAAATCAAAGGTACCGGTTCGGTTTTGGTTAACCAATATAAAAAATTGGCAATTAACCGAACTGACCAGTATACATGTATTTCTATATATTATATGTATATGTATGTATACTATATATATTTTTCATATATTTTATATTACCCATATATTATAAAATAATAAATATGCATTATACATATTTATAATTAATAATATATTATTTATTATTTAAAATATAATATTTTATATGCATTTCTAGTTTCTTTATTATATATTTATATATTTATTTATAATATATATTATAAATATAAAAAACCGAAAAAACGATGAACCGAACCAACAGTTAAGGACAGGACAGGCTGATTGTTGAAGGAGGGGAGCTAGAACATGTGAGGGGTTTGGCTGTTGATCAACTAGATAGTGAAGTATACACTCGAAACGAGTTGACCGTGAGGGAGCTGGAGGGGGAAATAAGAACTGGGGAAGAAGAGAGAGGTAGAGGAAGTGTTCGGCTGAAAAGTTTAAAATAGAAAGAGAAGAGCGATTGAAACCGAAATGGATCCTGAGAATGGGAAGAAGATTGAAGTGATAAATCAGGAGGTAACTTCAAAGGAAAGAAAAGGGGGATTGGAAGAGAAGAGTGAGGCTCAGGGAGGGTTGATAACATTTGGTAATGGAGAAGTGGCAATCAAGGGGCTACTAGAGAGGGGAGGTGACAGTGGGCAAGTCTTTGGGTCTGTTATTTTGGGGAGGGGCAGATTTCGCAATAAAAGCTTTCGAGTAATTCGAGAGAGAAAGGGGGGAGGAAAAAAACAAAAGAAAGGAAAGGCGAGGGAGGATTGAGAGTGGAACGAAGGGGGGGGGGGGGAGGGAGGAGGAGGTGTTGGATGAGGATATGTGAAGGGTTAAATATCAAACTGTTGGAAGGAGTACGGGGAGAGCGGAGGGAGGAAAAAAACAAAAGAAATGAAAGGCCAGGGGAGGATTGAGAGTGGGACGAAGAAGGGGGGAGGAGGAGGTGTTGGATGAGGATATGTGAAGGGTTAAATATCAAACTGTTGGAAGGAGTACGGGGATAGCGGAGGGAGGAAAAAAAAAAAAAAGAAATGAAAGGCGAGGGGAGGATTGAGAGAGGGTCGAAGAAGGGGGGAGGAGGAGGTGTTGGATGAGGATATGTGAAGGGTTAAATATCAAACTATTGGAAGGAGTACGGGGAGAGCGGAGGGAGGAAAAAAACAATAGAAAGGAAAGGCGAGGGGAGGATTGAGAGTGGGTCGAAGAAGGGGGGAGGAGGTGTTGGATGAGAATATGTGAAGTGTTAAATATCAAACTGTTGGAAGGAGTACGGGGAGAGCGGAGGGAGGATGAAGGAATTAAGCTTGGATAGAAAGAGATCCGAAGTTCACAAAAGAGGAAAGATGAGAGCTGTGGAATGAGGATGGAGACGAGCAGGAAGAAGTGTTTGAAGGAGTCAATTAATGATTTTGGGGAGAAATGTGGAGCTACGTGCATCTATTCATGTGTTTTGTGGAGGTTTAAACATTTCTTTTCAGATGTTTGTAGCATTTGGTCTCTCATTCTCCTATGGTGATGTTTCTTTGTTGCATCAGATTTTGTTAATCAGGGTGCTGCCTCATCACCCTCTGATGTATTAAGTTCCCTATTTTTTTATTTTAATGAATATTTTTCTTTTCTACTCTTCAAGAAACATAAATAACGGAAAGGCTGAGTTTACAAAAGGAAGTTCATTTGTTGAGGCTGAAGTGGAAGATTAAGAGAGATGAAAAGATGGGGGTACCAACGGAGTGAGTGGACCTGACAAAAGAAGCAGAAGGGTAAGTGGGAGTATTTGGTAGTAGCTTTGGGAGGGTGGTGATTGGGCCTTTAAAGCATTTCATGCTGTTGGAGGCAGTCAATACGTGGCAGCAGGGAAGAGTGAGGGGTGAGGGAAGATGCAAGGGGAATTTATAGGGCGCTTAATGAAACTGACACATGACAATGGGGAAAAGAGATGGTGATATTTGTCTTTAGGGAGAGAGATAGAAGGGGATTCAAAAGAGCAAGGTTAGGTTGGTTTGCTGGCTGGATAAAGTGGGAGGGGAAAAACAAGGGAAAATAAATAAAAAAAGCGAGATTGTACATGCTAAACTTTATTTAGACATACAAACAAAATAGATCCATCACATTTTCTGGGCTACATCATTGCATGTGCTCTTTGTGCTCTATTAATGCATTTTCAGTAATGATGTTGTGGATCATGTAAAATTGGCAGTCTTGTATATTATAAATTTCTTTCCATCATTTGGTCGAAACTATCTCTCAACGGTAATAACAGTATTCCAGTATATTGGTACATTGACATTAAGGCTTTGATATTCTAATTTTGTTCATCTTCCTTCCGGACATTTAAGGAGGAGAAGCGAAAAATGGTTGCATCTGCACTTGGAGAAGATCTAACTGGTGGCTCTGCTACTCGTCTTACAGTGGATGATCTTAGATATCTATTTATGATCTGAATGTGGCTGCTCAGATCTCTTTTTATAATACGCCGGTATTCCCTGTGCACTTTTGTTTAGCTAACAAAAGTCAATGAAGTCAAACCTAAATCCAGATGGTTAAAATGGAATGGATGCTCTGGCTGCATATCATGCCACTCAGCAAGTTGCTTAACCTGGATGAGGAAATGCTAATTATCGTGATCTACTGATAATTGGTAACTGATTGAGGCTTAAAAAGCAATTTTGTTGTTCTGAATTGAAGATATAGTGAAAGAAAAAGAAGACTGACTGTATATAGAAAATCAGTCTTTGGGTTAATTATAACCATTTACTTGTGTAATACTTTTGTAAACACCAGGTTAGGCAAAAACGAGGGAAAAATATGTAGGGAAGAAGCTTAGGACACAAATACCAAGATTAAAAATAATACTGTTACATATTAGTTTCTATGACTAGCCAGAATGAAGACCGATTAATGGCTTGTATTTATGCTACAACATTATCTACAACATCTTCATAGATAAATCTCTGAGTATATTAGAAGGCAATTTTAAGATGTGCATTGCGATATACTGTGGAAACGTATGGACATGCTGGTATAATTTGGATACAAGACATTCTCTAGATAAAGTATAGATACATAAGAAATGTAAACTTTATGTAATATGAAGTATGAACCACCAATATATTTGAAAAACATTACATTGGAAAATAGAGGAAGAATCAGTTAATTCCGTACGTGGACAAAAATATCAAACTTATATTACTATTTGCTGGGTTATGATTATTCCTACTTGTGAAGCGGGTGATTTGGGTTCAATCCCTATTAATAGTGTATTATTCGATGTTATTTGATTTCTTTGAAATTTAAAGTTGAGTTAATGTGGAGTAATGGGAAGTGAGTAGAGTTTGATTGGATTTAAAGTTTAAATTGATGAGGGTTAATATGAAAGTAGGCTGAAATTGATGTTAATAAATAATGGATGATGCTTAATGATATGTTATTTGATTCATTCGATGTATTTTTTTTTTTTTTTAATGTAGCGCTATTCCAGTAATGGATGATGCTTAACGATATGAGGCATGTCAGACCCTGTAAAGACCAATGTGTATTGTTAGTGCTTCTTCCTCCCAGTGTTTACCAAAAAAGAATTAAAAAGGATTAGAGGCAAATTAAAGCTGTTTTTTGATTGATAGAAGACAAAGAAGCAGTAAGTTAAGAACTTTCCTGCGACTCTCTGTTCTGTATAAAAATATTAATAAATATTGACAAAATTACATATGTTTTAAAGCAAATTGTAAAAGCATTAAACAGAACCAAAGTCAATTTTTTGATCGAATTGCCCTTTCATTTAACCTAAAGCCTTTCTCCTTAGGCCCTTCCTTCGACAAGTCAATCTTTAGGGTCGTTCTTTCTAGACGACTAGACTTCAGAAAGAAGCTTCCGAGGAATGTCTTAATAGGAATGAATCCTTGCAATTTTTTTTTTTTAATTTTCTTTCATCATCTTTTCTCAAAGAGAACTCGAAGTCCTCAGCTATAAAACATTCAACTGAGGGAACTGTTTGAGAGTATTAAGACCAATTTTTGCAACTGCCCAACAGGAAACATTCAACCGGACAAAGAGCTCCTTAGGTGGTGTTCAGTAGCGTTTAATCGACCTCTAAACACTGAAAATATTGCTTTTTCAGCAGTTGGGGGTCATTTGGTTGCATGTCTGTACTGATCCTCCAAGCACCGAAAATTTTCGTTAGCAATTGAGCTACCTCTGAACGCACTCGGAGGTAGTGTACAAAAATTGCTTTCTGATCGTGTCCCATTCATTTATGAAAATGTAGGGAAAGGAAGGGGAAGGTAGGGAAACTTTTACAAACCTTGTATTGATTCCCGTCTTTCCCTTCCTTTTCCTACTTTTTCCTTCAAACCAAACATATTCTAAAGGAACTAATGAAGGATTCTACAAGATAATTTTGCCTGAAACCTTTACTGAAAAAAAAGGAAATTAGATAAAACAGTTTTTAGATTCAAATCCCAAAAGAGAACGTTGGTCAAGTAAATAAAACAATCAAAAGATGCATTTGTTAACATAAATAGATCATTGTCCATAAAGAGCATGCTAGATAGAAGGAAAAATTAAAACCTTTGGTTCTCCAACCAAGAAAAAACCCTCAAAACTCAAAACTGTATCCTTCTGGTCAACAAGTTAATGAGATCTGTTTAAAGAAGCAAAACAGCAATCCAGTTATGAAATTGCAAGTACAAATTAGCTATTTTTTTTCCAGAAAGGCTGAAACTATGAAGCTTTTCAGAGTACAAATTAGCCATTTTTTTCAAGTGGTTTATAGATAAAATACCTAAAATTTAGAGGTGAATTTTGCGTTGAAGTTCTGCTAAATTTGGCGGTGCTTGCCTAGACCAGAGACAAATGATAGATGAAAATAAAGACAGGAAAACTAAAGAGATGATGACCTTTTTGTTTTTCTTTTAATAAAATGAATAATCTATAGATGAAAAGGAAGACAAAAACCAAGGAATGAGAAGCAGGAATATGAGAGAGGGAGAAAGGTTAGGTCGGGCAGGAACAGCCTTGACTAGCGGGATTGTATCAAGGAGCAATTCAGTCAACAAAAAATGACTGTTTTTGACTGTATTTACAGTTTATTTCAAAACATATCTAACCTTTTCAATATGTAGAATTTTATTAATTTTTTGGTAAATTATAACAACCCATGTACTATGGGGTCAGTGACAATTACCCCTTGAATATTCATTTGCAAATTGCAACAAATACCCCCTGAACTTTCACTTTGCACAAATACCCCTTACCCATTAAGTTAGATAATGGAGTGCACTAAATTACCAAAATATCCATTTGAATTGTCCATATTTTCTCCCACCCTTTTTCTCTTAAACCCTAATTAACCCAAAAATACTTTCATTTCCTCCAAAAAAACAACTAAAGTAACAAGAATCATTTCATTGATATAGAAAACAAGTTTTTTTTTTTTAATTTTGTTTAATTCCACTGACATGAATGCCTCTCTTCATCTTAAAATATAAAATTTATCCACTCATTTCTCCAATAAATCAAGAAAAAACAAGCAAAACCTTAAATTTATATCTACAATTACAAGTAATAAATCTCTATTATTTCATCTATAGGTGTAATGTGACTTTTGCAGGCTTCTTGCATAGTAGCAGGTCGTGCCTCCCTAGATTCCTCAAAACGGAAGCCCACCCACGACCCATATTGGGCTAGGCCATGGGTGACACAACCGTTATAAAAAAATTAAAAAAAATAATGAAAAAGATAAAATAAATTAACAAGATAGACAATAAATTACAAAAAAAGCCTTAAAATTTTATTCAATATGAAATTTGATGTATAAAATTGTTTATATAAGAAATAATAAAATTGAAAATAAAAATTTATACACAGATATCAAAAAAAAAATTTACACACACACACACACACAGATATATATATATATATATATATATATATATATATATATATATGCTTTGCAATTGTTTATGTTGTGACATGTGTTAGACAGCGTATGCCCTTAGCTCCAATCAGATTGATGTACATTAAACATTTATTGTAAATGAATAAAAGTACATAATTGATTCATGTTATACTTGATATGTTTCTGTGCAATTACCCTTAAACTTGACACTTATGAGACTCGTGTTAGTTTAGAATATTCTCAGCCGTTGGATAGACCTGGGGAGGTTTATTCTACCATGGCTGACACTAATGTGTTGACAAGTCGGTTGGGGTAGCTTGTCTCAACTACCAGGGTTAGACCCGAAGCACATGTAGTGTGTGTTTACTTGAAACATCGAACCCGGACCATTTTCTAGTTATGCCCTGGACCTTGGAGGCTAGTGGGAAAAACTGGAAAGTTACACCTGTTCCCTAGACTCGATTATGGTACTGCACTGTGTGTTGGATTAGGCTGTCTTTGATATGCCAATTAGTGAGATCCTTAGTGGGGGTCAAAATCTGGGTGATCATAGTGACAAAGTTAACCCTTTTGTCGGACAAAGTGAATGATCGGGGACTACGCTCTCTCTAATGGGAATCAAAACTGCCAACAATTAATTTCAACCGTGTTTGAGATTTGTTTTGCAAAATATATATATTTATATGAAAATATATACATTATGTTTTATGAAAAAGGTTTTAATTCTCGGGATCAATCCGAGCAGAGAGTGCAACACTGTACCTTGCAGTCGAGGGAGAGGTCATCTCTTGTTGGGTAGTGTTTGATCATTATGGACTGAGAGGTTAAGTGTAAAATCATTTAGGGCTTTAATACTTGATGGGCTAATCTCACTTAAGACCATAGTCCTTGGGCCTTCATAAGGTGGTTGGACTCAATGACCATTTCATGTAAATGTTGGGCATGTTAAGAGCCCATACTAATGGGCTCAGGGGTTCATTGTATTCAATAGTGAATTTGGCTAGGCCTTATAATAGAGGCTTGGCTGAACCCATATGGCTTTTGTGAAGATCAATGTTAGGGTCCCATGCCATACAAAGAGAGAAAAGTTAGCTAGTAGTTAAAAGGGAAGTGAGCCTACAAGCTTAATGGGCATAAAGCCCATAACGATCTGGATAAATTAAGAAGTCACATGACAGTTTAAGCAGTCACGTGACTTGGGGCGAATTTGGGTTTAGATCTGGGTTTGGATCAGCAAAAGGATAAGATAAGTCTTATCCACTTAAGAGTTCAGACCCAAATAAAGATTAGGATCGAAGAACTCCTCTTAATATGATTTGGAGAGCTGATCTTGAAGGCTTACAAATAGAGGGGGCGAACTGCTTTATTTCTCACCTTTTTTGCTCACAATTCTCTCCCTCTGTTCTTGCTACCCTACCCTATTTGATTTCAAGTTTCTTGAACCGATCAAGATTGGATTTTGATTCTGATTTTTGCTAGAAAAATTAGATTTAATTCGTGCTCACCATCCCTTGCTTGATCATTGCTGAAGGATTGTAGTTCTTGTTGAAGAACTGCACTGTTGAACCTGCTTCATCTCAGGCTGCGCCATCTTCAATGGAAGCGGGTTTTAGTATCCTATTTGGGTGTGAACACCTACATTGGGAGCTACACGTGTGGATTTCATATTAGGTATAGCCCTCCCTTCATTTTGGTTCCAGATCTGGTCCGGTTTGTTTCAAGAACGATCATTGAAAAATGCAGTTTTTCTAAAACTAGGAATACAGTTTCTAGAAGGGAGAAAATAAATTTTTGAAATTTCGCTCAACCACCTTGCATGGTTCGGCCATCCATATGATGGATCTCCCTTCCCTTCAACATGCTGGCTTGCAAGTATCAAAACCCTAGCCCAGCATGGCATAGGAGTTCATGCCAGGCCTAGCAGGACCCACTTGCTATAATGACCAGGTCAAGCTTGAGTTGTGCTGGGCCATGCTGGCCCATGGGTGGCCGAGCCTACTTTACAACTCTCATTTCATTTAAATATTTAATCCAACTAGAAATTAGCAAAGAATTATTGGAGCAACTATGGGAGTCTTTGTCATGAATGAGA